TTTATCTTTGAAATTGCGTATTCTTCTTTGAATTGAAAAACATTCAAAGTTTTCCAAGTTGTGTAACTCGCAAAACATCCTCCTCTTCGAAAGGTTTACAATTTGTCAGCAGATTCTTTGGGGAAGGCTATAGTTCGAACATTTCCGAAATTAAAAAAACAATTCTCTTCGTCCATAAAATTATCCAAGAAATCTATTCTATTTCATAATTTTTGCAGGTAAGTAGGAACAGATAGTTAACGGGTAATATACATATCTGACCTTCATCGGCCATTTCTTCTGTTCGGTTCATCAAACTCTCCAACTTCTCCCCTATATTTCCCATGTCATCTTTTATCTTCTCTATCTGTTCAAGTCCTTTACCCATGTCACCTTCAATCTTCTCAAGACCTTTTCTCATGTTTTCTAATTGAAAGGAAAATGTAGATTAATTAAACCGTCCACCCTCGAAATTTCGCGGCCAGTTTTGTTTTCGACCGCCACACGACCATATTTTATCTCTACACAATATTGAAGTAAATCCATATAATGATAATTTCCTGAGAAGAGGTTGTGAGAAAAGCATTTGATATAAACATAAAGTGGTTTCAGACCATCCCATCTCAATTACTTAGCTACACCTTGCTAACTGTCAAGGGTCAGTTTTTCTTTTCCTTTCAAGTAACCAACCTTTCTTTCCCAAACAACTCATGGCATGAAGCTCACATATTTTGAATTGTGGTTGTATTTCTTTAACTTATTTCATATAGAGTGCCCACATACCGTCCATCTCCTCAAGCTTTTCTTTGAAGCTGTCCTCGTCTTTCTTCCACTGCCTTAACCGTTCTTTATAGTGTTCCTCTAAAGCGGGATCCATTGACCCAACTTTGAGGTTTGTCATATCAGCTGCATATTTTCCCCCTACCAATCCCGTTATTGCATTGCTGATAGCCAGCCAGTACCTGTTGAATGCAGTATCATCTACAGAAGCCTGGTTGGCGTGGCCGTAAACTTTATTACGATAGTACTTTACTCTGGCTATGTGAGCTTGCTTACTTTGGTCTAGATCAGGAGGAAGAGCGTCCCAGCCGGTAGCCGGAGGTGCCAGCCCACAGATATTTCTAAGTAGTACCATCAATAGTGTAACATCAAACTTGTGTGATGAAACTGATGATAACACAGCTGGGAATAGATCTCCCCATTGTGAAGAATTGATAATCTTTTTCGTCTTGAGGGTATTTAAAGTTGCATTATGCGGAGGCTGCGTTAAGACTGTCTGGAGTGCTCTTTGGGGGTGAATGCCATCAAACGTATCTCTTAATGCTTGAGATCCCACATCCACTAGAAGACGACACAGTCGCGCATAGTTAGTCGTCTCATCTGTGGAAGGAGATAATTGCGGCACTGAGAAAGCCATTGGACCTAGGTCTGAAAGAAAAAGGTTGTTCTGTAAGTTTTTCGTCTATTTCAAGCCTGTCTTCCAAGGTTTTTAAACCAAGTAAGGCACCGGCTGTTGTTATTACTATCGTTCAGTTGAGTGTGGATAAATCATCATGTTGCTTGAGAATGGCTCTCGCCGAACTGTTAGAAAAGTCAGCCTAACCAAATTAGCAACCGAAAATAATTTAACATCAAATTTGATAATTTTTAATGTTGGTTATAACTATATAAGAATTGAAATGAAGCAACTTCAATTTTTTCAGTTTGCATGTCGTGGTTACTGTTTAAAAAAAAAAGATACTCTCTTGCTGAAAAAATTGAATTGTGCCACAAAGGAAAATCAGATACGAAAGTGAGTTGTAGAAAAGCTTCCATTTAAATATTTCGTTGCTAAGTTTGACTCGTGACAAGAAAGAAATCAGCAAAATTAATAACAATTAGTGCGCACGCTACATCCGGTGAATTTTATGATGGAATCGAATTCTCCTCTGAGTTTCAAACCGAGTTAGAAAAGTTTTTCGATCAAATCAAATCTTTCTCGCGATTAAAAGAATTTTGCCTATCTGGCCTCGTATAATAAGTTTCGTTTACAAAACAAGTTCTGCAATGGTAACTATTCCTATCTAGTTTAATGATGACTCCCGCCAAAATTGTCTAAATGTCATTCTCTATCACTGGCAACAGTCCTCCTCAGGATTTTTCAAGACTTTCGAAAGATCAGACAACAAGATAACAATGTCAACATAACTTCTGTAATAAAGGGGTAAGTTTCTATAGAAACTGTGGTGCTGCGTCGGTGGGAGAGTATAGCAGGTAATTCAGTGTTAACAACAGAGTGGAAAACGTAAATTAACCACCGTTAAGGGTAAAAAAGCTGACGTTTCGAGCGTTAGCCCTTCGTCAGAGCGATTGGAGGAATTGTGGGTTGTGTGTGGGTTTATATGCAGAAAGTGGAGCAACGCCATTGATGGGAATATGGTGACGAGAAAACAGGAATAAATTAGTTGAATGAAAAACACTCGTTGATTCCGTGGGGATTAAGGGTGCCGATTTGGAAGATAAATTTTTGTTCAATTGTTTTACGGCTTTCCGAACTGCTTAGATATAAGGAAAGGCCGCAAACTGTCATATGCTGTCTAGAATGATTAGGAAGATTAAAGTGTCTAGCGACTGGTTTGGATGCGCCCTTGTCATTTCTTTTCACGTCGCGAAGGTGTTCTCGGAATCGGTCTCCTAGTCGTCTTCCTGTTTCGCCGATGTATAACTTATTGCAATAAGTGCAAGTTATGCAGTAAATAACATTGGCGGAGGTACACGTAAAGTGATCAGTGATCTTAATGGATCTCTTGGGTCCCGATATTTTCTCTACGTTATCAATGAAAGAACAAGTTTTGCATCGTGAGCGAGCGCATTTTAAAGTTCCAGACTGGTCATTGGTTTGAAATGAACTCCTGACTAAAACATCGCCTATGTTTTTGTCACGTTTGAATGAAATAAGTGGAGGTTGCGAAAAGATAGTACCAGTCTCTGAATCGTTTTGGAGTAATTTAAAATTTTTAAGAATGATAGATTTAACTGCGTGGTTGTAAGGGTGAAATGTAAGAGTAAATGGAATGCGGTCAGTGTTATCCTTCTCAGCCGTTTGTAGTGCTGACTGTCGATCAATTTGTTGGGCACGGTGGTGGCCTGCTTGAACGACAGAGACAGGATAGCCACGTTTACCGAAAAACTGGCACATTGCCTCTGATTTTTCGGAAAAATCAGAGTCGTCACTATATAAAGGACGAAGTCTGAGAAACTGTGAAAAATGTATGGAGTTCTTGACGTGTGATGGATGTGAAGATGAATACAACAAGTAACTATGTGAATCTGTAGGTTTCTAGTAAACACTAGTGCATAAACCGTTGCCTTCAATTGAAATTTTGATGTATAGAAAAGCCGAAGAAGTGTCGAAAATTTCCCAGGTTTATTTAGAGCCGGATGAAAGGAATTGACGGCGGTTATAAATTGAGTGAGCTCCTCTTTGGTAGAGGAGGTAGCGCCGATACAATCGTCAATGTAACGGCCATAGAGTTCAGGTTTTGGGCCGTGGTATTGACTAAAAAAGTGATGTGCGATAAAACCTTAAAAAAGATTGGCGTAACTGGGTCCCATTTTAATACCCATGGCTACGCCATTAGTTTGTTTGTAGTAGTTACCACCAAATGAAAAGCAATTGAATATGAGTACTAGTTCGGCCAGACGGAGTAGTGTTTCAGAGCTAAGTTCCTTAACAGTGCGATGATCGAAAAAATGTTTGAGCGGGAGACCTTCGTCATTGGGAATGACAGTATAAAGAGATGTTGTATCCATAGTGAAAATAAGTTTGTTTTGGCCTGCGTGTTGGTTGTCCTTAATGTAAGACGGTAAAGTTTTGACGATAGGTGCCATAATTTTGCTGCAGGCAACCTGGGTTGTTAGGTATGTGGATTTTAGGTAAAAAGTAAATACACGAAGTTCTAGGAGTGGTAATGATACACGTCGTATTTCTGGTGATAAAAGAAACCAGTAATAAAGAGCAAACTCATACTGTTCAGTAACGCCTATTTTTCGTAAACCAGAATAGCAGGAATCTCACTTAGTTCATGGTGTGACATCAGTCATACTATGAGGTTTTGGAATGCAAGGAAAATCCTTCGCTCATTCACACACCCACTCACAGCTCGACAATTAATTTATGCATTAAAACTTGAATTAAACGCGCTATCCCCTAACGCCCCCACTGGGTTTGCTTATGTTCCCAAAGTCATGCCATTATCTTCCGTACAAATGTCTGGGGGATGGTATAAAGGCAGAGATATTTGCCCGTGGACATAAGGTTAACAACATAATTAAAAATGGCGTCTGTCATCAGGCCGTGGGCTAAAATAAGCTGGCTGGTTTCTCCTCCTTTTCGCTCCATCCTTAACGTGCTTGATCAAAATATATCCTTGTAGACCTCAAAAACGAAAACGAAAAGGAAAGGTGCGGAAAATACCTAACAAGTCTTAAAAATAGGTCCGCAATGCGTACTTGTGTGGGATTTCATTGACAGAGTGTTTGCAAGGGGTTTTTGAGCGGAAGCAAACCTGTCGCTCACCGTGAGTCAACTGTACTACAGGGGTGATATTAGGCCTGGAATCAACAGCCTGAATAGTAATTTTTGTGCGTGAATTATTTGAACAAATACAGATTCACAGGAGAGATCTGGGGTGTTAACTTATACTTTTATCAAGCAATATGCCTTTCCCTCCCTCCCTGGAAGCTTTTTGGCGTGTTTTTGAACGTTTGGTAATCGTCTTCAACAAATAAATTACCTCTTGGTGGCTTAGGCTATTTATTTGTTTATACGGCAATACTGCAAATACTTGGAGCAGTAAATATTTTCGTAACAGTCATTGAAAAAAAATTGAAAAAATTTCTGCTACTACTGTTTAACTCGTGGATATACGATAGCGGAGAAACGAGTTCTTGTGGGCGCTCTGCGATATGCAAATTAGCGTGGACTCTTCGTAATTAGTCGTAATTAGTCGGCTTCGAACTCGAGATCTATCCTTCCGAAGAAGTAAGTCCAAAGTCCTGGCGCTATTATGATTGCACTGATCGTTGCGATATTTATTGTCTTTACACGCCTGTTTCGACATTTACTATATTGAAATGGACTTCAAATGTTTCAGACTAGTGCTATGATCAACTTAAAAACCAAATTTGAAGGGTCTTCGAATCGTCCATGCGCTAAACATAACGAGGACCAGCGAGAATCACGAAGACTTTGTGAGTGACAGCAAGCTGTTGACACAGAAATTCCCACGGAAACATGTACCCATGACATTAAAGAAAATGGTAATTTGCAGCATTATTTCTTTCTACGCCAATTTGGGTCTTTCCGTTGTAATCGTTTCGTTTTGTTATTCTTCTATGCAAACGTGACTGTTTTGATGGTAAGAATGAAAGATGATCGCTTTCAAGAAGTCGTTGCCGAGCACGTGACTATAATCTGGCCGGTGTTGTTCTGATCACTTGACGATCTTTTTCGCTGAAAATACAGGACGACTTCCTATTTCAAGGAATGCTTTTCCAATTAATTTCTATCGCATCGGTGTAAAAAAGTACAGGTATATGGGTGTTCTGAAAAACAAAAGGGAAATTCAAAACTACGAGAAATTGCGAGTAATCGGCCTCTTCTACTACACGCGGGTTTTTTTGGTGTAACATGCGTGTGTTTCCCATAAGTTATAAGCACTTTACGCACGTGGGAATGCTGCAATCACGAATTTTAGATTACGTGAAAGTCACGCATGTGGTTGTTTGCTCACTTCACTAATATGTTTGTTTGCTTGTTGTTGTTTTTTTTTGGTATCCTGGAGTATTTCAGGAGGGGTTGCAGACTTAACTGTGGAATAATTGTTTAATGCAGGGTTGTCAATAAAGGTTGCAGTTAGAAATTAGCCAAGATGCTAAAGGAGCTGCCTTGAAATTTCAAGACTGTGTGTTATGTAGTTTATTTTTGTCTTTTGTAAATGGTTGTTAAACTGGACAACTCTTAGAAAGATGACTTCAAACTTAATTTTAAAAGGCCTGTTCTGGTACCAAATGAATAAGCAGCATTTCCTTATTAATAGTTTTGCGAGTTTCTCATTACAAATTCCTCTGAAAAAAGGGAAACAACTCTTTTCATAACTATTTACTGCTTTCTTTTGTTGCTCTCTTAACTTAAAAACAATGTACATCATGATAAAGTAATTTGTTAGAGGACACCGTGAAATGAGGCCCAAACAGCTTTATGATCTGTGAAATATGTTGCTAAAACATCTGCTTGTATATCAATGTTAGATATATTTGTATATATATGATCAATTACTGTGTTGTTGTCAGTTGTATAAGTTGATATGAACTGTTTGTAATGGTTACCCCTCACTAGTAAATTATATAAAGGTCTTCTGTCTGTTTCAACAAGCC